CTATTTTTAAAACTATGTTTTCGTATTTTTAAAAGAATTATTAGTTTTTGGCCAAATACTCAACGACCTACTAAAATCAACATAACTCAATTACGTTAGCTTACTTTTTCAAAGTTTATACAGTTTTGAAAACTAGATATATGGGGCTACAAAACTGCGTTTTTACTTGCCTGGAAACTCTTCATTTATGATAGTTGCGGCTTGTTTGAAGATAATTTTCCTGAAATTTTCACATATGTTCTACCATAATGGCACGAAAACATTCAGAACCTAAACTTTGTTATATGTCAAAATAAAGCTCTTATATACTACTAATAGGAACTGAAAACCGTTTTGCAATATCTTAAACCAGTTAAGATATTTCCCGGTTCAAACATGGTATGAAAAAACCAGAATTTTCACTAGTTTTCAACTTCAAACAGCTCTAGAATCGCGAAATCAGCACCAAATGACCTGAAATTTGGCATTTCTATCTACTTTTATGTCCTCTACAAGAAAAAATCACCCAAAAAGTGTAAATCGGAAAAGTCCATTTTTCAAAGTGAAAGTCCCTTTTTTTTCATTTTGCCCCATTGTGAACTTATAACTTGATGAATTTAAAGAAGATTGGGTCTTCTCATGACTGTAAGCCCTTTAAAGTGAAGCTTGGCAGTTAAATTTTCAATTTCTGTCCTTATTTTAGTTGCCTCTTTCTTTTTGCTACGCCAATGAAATACCAATTATGCTATATGTGTCGCTGAGGATTAAATATAAATCTATAATCAGTTTCGCCTCATTAAAACTTATCGATTAACCTTAATCATGAATTCGATTGCCATTGCCAAAAATCTTTCTTTAAATTGGCTTGATGTAAAGCTTAAAGTCATCATCTAATGAATTTTCATTGCTGTAACAATAAACACTTCAGTTTTGATTAATTTACGATGAGCCATAGCCACACAAAAAACTATGACGAATGTACTCGACACGTTGTCGACTCTGTAACGACATCATGATAAATTTGTGGTTTTAAATGTACAGCTTGAATTTTTCATTCATCATCCTTTTGTGAGGTTTACATCAAATATGTTCAAATTAGTGACCCAACTCTTTGCTAAAAAATTCAGTCAACTAGAAGAACAAAAACATTAAATCTGTCGAAAAAAGTTGAGTTCTTCTTATTCTAATTATTTTTAAGCTGATTAAACAGATTTAAATAAAATTATGACATGAATGCCTGGATCAAATTTTTCCGAAAATAAGGTTTAGTTGTCAACTTTGACCCAATTTAGATTCAAAAGTTTCATTCATAATAAACTTCTTAAAACTATATTTAAAATATATTTCAGTGTGCTGATTTAACAATTAAAAAAATAATTTGCAGCACAACTTTTGATGTGGCTTCAATTATATATTTTATTCGCATGTGTTTTCAAAAGTCAACCTTAATTTATTTTTTCAGTACTCTCAATAGGATTACTGTTATCACAGAATTACATAACTTCCCCTCATAAAGCCTTTACACGTGTATTTCAAATAAAAACTCATATCCATCAATGAAATTATTCTCATGTCAAATTCCAAATTCCTTTTATTCCACCCCAACTAAATCATTGAAGTAGAATCTCAAATTGATATTGGTTCTGAGACTATTATTCAATAAAATAATATCATAAACTGCGTGGATGTTAGAGATCCTCGTGACGCAATAAGCGTTCAGAAGAGAATGAAGAAATAATGAGAAAACGCTTTGACATTACATTATAAATTTGACAGGACAGAACAATTTGTTAAAATTGTTATTTTCCCTTCAGCTTCAGAAAACTTCTTTAATGGGACTGCATCCATGAATTACGTCTAAATACGATATTACTTTCTATTTACACTATTACTTTATACTTCGCATGAGACAAAAGTTTTCAAGATTGTCAAAATTTTCACCCATTTTTGTGACATCATATGCAAACAAACCCCAGAAAAAAGATTCACGTGTTTTTAAGATAATATTTTTTGAAATCTATAAATCCAAAATTTCCCACCCTCAGGTATTGAACAACCGTCAAACCTTCACAAACAAGCAATCGCTGTATGTATCCCCATAGCGTATTACTACGGTCATAAAAAAGGAAAGTGAATTAAATCAGCTGTATACAAGCAATGGTGATGTGTAACAAGATTTTCTGACTCATTTGTCGTAAACAAAATTATGATTATGTGGGCAATAAAATCTCTCTCTATGACTTGACATTAATTTAAATAATTTTCTTCCCACAATTACAGCTTTGATGTTTATCACTGAACATATTTACATGACATTCTATAAATCAAAATTTAATGATTAATTATTTTTTGCAGATCTTCAAACGTTCGAACTCCTGCCAATAACCTAATTTTGAATTTAGCAATTAGCGACTTTATCATAATGCTGGAAGCTCCAATATTTATTTATAATTCGATAAATTTTGGACCAGCTTCTGGGGAAATAGGTAAATAATTATTAATGTCGAGATGAATGATGAATATTTCCTTTGATTTGAAGTGAATTTGAGATTTTTCAGGAGTGGATCTAGGTTAGAGTAAAATTATTGACATAAATAAATATTTTGCTTCTGAGGACTTCTCAAAAATTGTCCCGCGATACTCGAAAGTGACATCGAAACCTTTAAATGTGTCTTTGAAAAACGATTAAGTGTGTTGAACTCGAAATAGTTTTAAGAACGCTTCTTAATTGATTTTTTTTTTTTCATAGAGCAAAGTTTGAGCAGCAATGCTTTAAGAAGCCTAAACCAGTTCTCTTAAATTCTATACTTAGTATCATAATTAGCTCCTTAACCATTGAACGTTATAAACAAAAAGCTAAGTTTGCCTTTGACTAGATGCTGATAAATATAGCAAATTTATGAAGTAGTAGCTTTTAAGATTCAGAATTCAATGAACAGTAATTCCTTGTGTTTTTATCACAAACAATAAATAAAGATCCCGTACTTTTAAAGACAATTCTTCACTTTATTGGATGTCTTCATAAAAAAAAAGTACTTTAAGAGGATGTCTCTGGACGGAAGGAAATCTATTGTTTCCAGTCCTTCTGTTAGATATCAAAGGTGAACAAAACACAAAGAAGGAGTGGCTCTTTAAACTTCCTTCCCATTCATGTTGCGATTTCTTGAAGATTAATATCTCAATTTTTTGACATTAAATTCAGAAAAATAATTTGGACATGAATCGGAACTTTTATCCTCCAAGAAAATAAATCTTAAAGTTTAATGATTAAATAATTTATTTCCTTCAGCATTTTACATTCTGAGGATTGTCTCCTTTTTTGCAAAATGCGTTGTTCACATTTTGAGTTTGGAAGGTATTTTGTTGAAACATTCAGCATAGCATGTGAAATGAAATGATGGAAAATACCACGTTAGATTTCTTATAAGTTATTTCCATAGCTGAAATATCTCATCAAAAATATCCAGGACAATGTATGAACAAAGCATCTAGATTTTGATGGAATTGCATAAAGTATACAATTGTAAGCTTATGCTTATTTGTTGTTCATTGAGCATATGAATGGATATTGAGAATCAATAAAGGAAGTTCTCATGTGCAATATTTTGAAGAAATCTATTGTGTGGGACATTTAATTTGTCATCATTAGTTTCAGTGCTTATTTGCATGCTTAAGATTCAAAGTTCGATTCAATGCCATTTCTTACGTTTGTATCTCCCTGTGCGATTTCCAATTCCATGTTAAAATTGAAATATCCTTCATTTGATGAGAATCAAACACATGTCTTCACAAAATAATGTATTGTAGATTTTCAGTCTGTTACTTAACCACTCAACCATTAAGGCTTGACACTCACACTGACAGATTTGTTTACAAATGACTCGATGAACTAGATTCCGATTCTTGGTGGTTTTTGATTTCAATTAATTAGGTCTTTATATGAGCTATTACATGATGCAACATAAATATGATCTGATTGTTAAAGGAAATTCATCATAGAACATGTGTTAGATCCTTATTCAGCTAACAAACCATTTAGCATAACAATTATTGATTTTAAATTTCATTTCTCATTTTCATTTCTAATTGATCATAACCTTGCCGCTTTCAACAGCTTGTAAATTTTATGGAATGATGGGCGCAACAGGAGGAACAGTAAGATTTGAATTTATCATAATTTAACTTTAATTCTCGAGAATAAATTTAAAAGTTGTTCATAAATGACGTCCATTAAAGAATGTTTTTGGACGACCAAAATTTAATTTTGTGATCTAACTGGATCACAGCACTAAAATGATTCCCTGCTATTTGGAATGATAGACTTCATAAGTGAACAACCGCTCAAGCTATCTTTTGTGCATTCAGTTTCTTTCCCACGCTCTTAAAAAAGTTTTTTTTGTATGTTTTAATCCCTTCCAGCAGCCTTAATCTAGTTTATATAAGATAAAAATATTAATTTAATTCTCAAAGCTCTAAAAAGACATCAAGAATATGCTGTATAATTTGTTAAACGTCAAAACTAATTTTTCACATATAAACATAACTTTTTCAAACACTTGTGCTTAATTGAAATGAAAAGTTGTAGAAGTAGGAGATTAAGCACTCCTTCTACGTTCTTTTAATAACTTTTACTTTGATTATTAAAATTTTCCATAAATCTTCTGAAAATGAAGAATTAAAGGATAAAAGTTTTGCATTATGGTTTTCATGAGAAGTGCTTACTAGAGCTTGAAATTGATACTTTAAGGGCTCTTTTATTCTTAGTATTATTCATAACCAATTTTCTATGCCACTTATTACATGAAAATCTCCTTATACAACTTTAGGTAGCCATAATGACGCTTACAGCAATTAGCATTGACAGATACAATGTCATTGTCTATCCTTTGAATCCATCTCGTTCAACTACCAACATCAGATCTCGAATAATGATATTGTGTGTATGGCTATTCTCGTTGCCTTTTTGTGGTGAGTCAAAGTGCTTTTAATTGGATATTACGTGACGCTGTTGTATCCAGGGCGGGGGGGGCTCAACTATAGTAAGCATTGTGGCTAGATAGTGGTCACTAGTATTATATAAGCTCCTTATTAAGAACATTACGTCATTTCCAAAAAGTCACTAAAACCCGTTGATTCATGAATAAAACTAAAACTCATTATTTATTTCCAGTGCTGCCATTTCTTGAAATTTGGGGTGTGAGTGGCTACATTCCTGAGGGATTCCTGACTGCATGTAGTTTTGATTATCTGGATACATCGCCATCAAATTACTGGTTCATCTTTGTCTACGCTATGGTCAGTTATTTAAATTATTAAAATTAATTCAAATTAGTAAGTTCAATGCTCTACTCATTAGGTTGCATTTTTCCTGCCCTTATCAATCATATCATACTGTTACTTCCACATCCTTCATGTTGTTGTATCAGCCAAAAAAATTCAATCAAGCAAGGAGAAGAATAAAACTGAAATTCGATTGGCAGCAGTTGTGATGGGAATCATTGGCTTGGTGAGTAATTTGTTACGATATAAATTCAGAACTAGTATCGCTTTTGCATGATATGGTTTGACAATATTGTCAGTGGATAGATATTTTTTAATAAAATTCAATTTGAATAAAGGAACAAAAATAATGAACGTCGACGAGATGATAATAAAAAGTCATTGCATTGCAACACGATATTGTTATAAAATGACAGCAAAGATGAACGAGAAAATTCTCAAATTTTTTTGCTACTCTGCATTGTGAATTCTTATTTTTGATTATTCTTTAGAAATGACTTTTTTCATGCTTTTCTTAAGAATCTTCTTTAAAAAGAGTTCTTGTGTTCACATTTAGTCTGTCTGTAATGAGGTTATGTTTGTGAAGACTGCTTGAAGTCGGTTTCTAGCCCTCCTCTACTCACATTCAAATACAGTCTAGCCACAGATTGTGGTTAATCAAATTATAACATCTAAAGCCAATCAGAAATACAGCACCTCTTGATCTAATTTGAAATGTGAACTCAAAAAGGCTTCTGGAGATTCTAAAGACTTTATAATTAGGCAAGACTGTTTTTTATCTTCAAAAATAAAAAAATTGAATTATTTAATCAGCATAAAGTTTGAACTGAGTTAAAACCTTAGACCTCCTACCCACTGTAAGTGTTACGTAACAAGTGAACGAAAGCTTAAAGTAATTTTAATTTGCAAAAGCACTTGAATTAGATGATGAAAGAAGATGTTGACATGAAAAGCCATTCATAAATAGAACTCACCTGAAAATGAGATTCACAGAAAAGCTTCTGAGCTATGTCAAAAAGTTAAGAATCTCCTTCCTACTCAGTAAAGTATTTTTAATTTTCAATGTTTGTGTTATTGTTCTTGCTTCTTTTATCCTTAAAAAATTAAATTCTAAGCATTTGTCGTTAAAACAAGTTGTTTCATACAATTAGGAGTGGGGATGAATTGATTCACGTAATCATTTATGAACTCACCCGTACCAGAGCTGTGAAACAGGCACCTGTGACAGGTGAGAACCCTACAATTCCTTGATAATTTATAAGGTTTTTCTAACATAACCATACAAATTATCAAGGAATTGAAAGGTTCTCACCTGTCGCAGGTGACCTGTTTCGCAACTCTGCCCCGTACTGACAAAACTCACAAGTTGGACATAAATTCCATAGAACACACATTATTAATGCGACAAACTTCTTCATAAAAAAGCGCTATTAATCGTCATGAACTAGCTCAATTCCTACTTATTTCGGTATTTTTCTCATAAAAACATCTCATCCGATGCAAAATACAGCATTCGAAGAATCTTTTTACCATGTTCGAATTTCAACAAATGCTCTTCTTTAAAAAAAAAACAAATAAGATATTATTCAGCCAGGCAGAACATGCTTATGATTAAATTTTTATGGTCATGAAGAATTGCTCCTGACTGATTTCCTTATAATATTAAATATCAAGTGGACCTCATTTTTCCAGGAATGAAAATATTTTAATAGACATTTTATGTATGCATTGAAGAAGAATTGGAAATATTTATTGTCTATCCAAAAATACTATTTGACCCTTTCACATCATTTCTTTCAAGAGATGATTTAATATTAAATGAAAGTATTCATTCATTCCAGACCTACATACATATTGTAGTATCATTGATACAGCACAAAGGAAACAAAAAAAAAGTTTTATTTTCTCATGTAACAAAGCCTTTTCTGGTATCTTATGAATGTATACTTTCTTGTCCTTATGCATATCTTACGAACCATCTTTATGTGGGCTTCTCTCGATTCTATTGAGAAGCTTATTTGTCCAAAAAATATTGTGATAAAAAGTTCGAAATAAATAGACTATCGAATAGCTGTCAATATCGGTTTTTAAAGTCAGTGTGTGGAATGAATTGAACTAAATTGAAGATTTTTTCAATTTTATGCTCCAAAGTCATTGGTTGATTATTTGATTTGTCCATTAGAGGCCGTTCACTTATGACATCTAGGGGGGGGGGGGGGGGGGGGGGGATGGTTCAACAACAAAATAAAAATTCCTGGAAATCTATTGTTCTCTTTTGAAAAATGACCGTTAATTTTGGAATTCATAAGTGAACGATCCCTTATTCATCTTAGCTTTAAATAATTTGAGGAATTTTGTGAATTTTTAAATATAAGTCAATGAATAATGAAGAATCGTTCAGCAAAAATTGAAATATTGACAACTTGATTTGATTTACGATTTAATTGTATCGAAATAGCTCCTGAATACAGTGCACTCGTTAGTAAGATCTTAAAGCTTCATTTTTCAATAAATAAATGACAAACAGCATCCGAGTTTACTCATTGAAATAGTAATCAAAATAAATATTTTAGAAATTTTCGCAAAGTGCTGAAGCAGAAATAAATGACTGTTGCTAAGTATTATCAAGCCTTAGGTTGGATAAAATAATTGTTTCCGTCAAAACCAATTCAGAAAATTTTTGCATTTCAAAATAATTTTTTTTAAAGGATTCTTGATGCATTGTTATTAGAAATATTGCTATGCAATGAAAATGCTGTTAAACAGGACGTCATAGTTCGATGTGAAACTTAGCAAACTGATTGAGAAGAACAAGATTTGAATTTATTTTCGTGAATTATGCTGATGTAACATGATCTTTTTGCTATTTTTGACTGAAATCTAATGTAGGGGTCCTTGACTTACATAATAATTTCCAAATGAAAATTTGGATTCATAAAATTAATAATTTGATTTGTAAAGAGTTTTTCCGGTCCCTGAGTTATGCAAATCGAGGCTCCTACTCCTAAAAACAACAACTGACGCAATTTAGTATTCAAATGTTAAATTTAATATGTTTTTCAAAGTTCATGTCATGACTGAATTCTTTAATAGATAAAGAAATGAAAATATGATTTAATGCATTCCTAAAAGTCAAAATGCTTTCGCATATTCATAAGCATTGCGTAATTTTAATAGGCGTTGATTAGAAAAGCTTTTATTGTTGAACTTTATCAAATGTAAATAAATTTCAACTCGATAATCATCCTTTTATCAAGATTGATGCATGAATTATCAAGTTTCAAAATTCCACATTTATTGCATTTTTCAGTAGCACCTGTAGTACGTGATATAATTGATAAAAACTTGCAGTACATACTCAACAATGCATTGTGTTTGACCATTGCATACATTTTTTTGATAAATCTATCAATTTTATTCATGAATGATTTTTGAAAAACGATTGAATTCTTTGAACTTTGTGCTTACTGAATCATTACAAAAAGGACATATGTTTTGTGTGCTTTTTGAAATCTTTTTTGAGCCATATTTTAATGATTACATAAACAAGATTTGTTGACTTCCAGAGGATCAAATCTCAAATCTCCAAAACTAAATAGATCTTTGAAGGATAGAATAAAATATAAAAATTGAAAATTGTGCGTGCGTTGCATTAAAAGATTATATTCATTACTGTTTTAGCATGTAAACTTGAAAAGTGCTTTACAAACATTTTTGTTGGTTGACATCTTTTTGGGTTTGTTCATTTATTATGTCCATCATTAATTCTTTTGATACTAAAACAGTTTTGGAATAATCTCACTGATTTGATGGACGTCATTTAAGAACATCCTTACTTTTTCATGACATACATATTTGATGATTGTTATCGAATAAATTATTAATGCCTTTATTTCATTTAATTATCTCATTTACAGTGGATGTTTGCATGGTCACCATACTGCATAGTTTCACTGATTGGCATATTTGGATATGCTGATAATATATCACCTTTAGGATCTATGATACCAGCAATAATGGCGAAAACAGCGGCATGTATTGATCCATATCTTTATGCTGTTACACATCCACGATTTAGGACTGAACTTAATCAATTATTCTGTAAATCTCAGGAAGAACCGACATCGAATTTTCAAACATCATATTACTCACGGGGACCGTCTAGAAGACGTGGTAAAAATAAGGAAAGTGTTAAGATTGGTAACAATAAAGAACGACCACCACTTGAGCGTGCTGAAAGTTCATTCTGCGAGGAATCGACGGTATCAATGGAAGTTCCAGTGAAGTGTTAAATATTTCAGCAACTTGTCCAATTTACAACAGATTTTTATTAACTTTTTGATTCCAAAATGAGAAACGGTTCTCATTCTGCAGCATGAAAATATGCGTTGTGGAAGGAACAAAATTCTCGTGAACAGTGCCTTTATTATAACTATATTTAACAATACAACGAGAATTGAAAAGGAACTAAGATATGGAAATATTGAAATATATGCAGTCGTGCATTCAGAAAATTTTTAATATGCACAATGAAGCATATATGTCTAATATTCACATACACCATAAACCATAAAAAACATTACATTCCATTCTTATTTTAAACTTTGTCAGGTGGAAGTTGTGTTGTACACGATGATTTTAAATGGATTCCTTTGTTTGAAAATACACATTGTGTGGTGTGTATGAATTATACAGCCATAATAAATCACAGATTCGAGTCAAAAAAAGACAAAACGGTACACAAAGAATGAATACGTTTCCTAATTTAAATTAAATCCTGAAGCATGCCTATCAAGGGGTGTATCTTGTCATTATTTTGGGATATCAAAAATGAGATTGGGCTAGGATGAAGGAAGGATAGGTGTGGGTTGAGGTTCCAATTAAGTTCAAACATCATTTATTAGATTAAAAAATAAATTTTAAGTTTAGAAAGGCTTTACTCCCTCTTTACTGGATACACCCCCGAAAAGTCTATAAGCATAATTTTGAATCCTCCCACACACATGCTAAGTAAATTACTTACTGACAATGGTGATATAAAAAATGAAAAAACACGAAATGAGAATTTATAAAAAAAAAATCTACAATGATAATGACACTAGTGATGATAACAGGCTTTACTCTAAAACTGACAATGGTAAAATTGGAATTAGAATTTTTTTTTGTTTCAAAATAAAAAAGTTTGAAGCAAGCTTTCAATTGTTAAGTGCACTTTAAAGGATAAATTTACTTCAGTTATTTTTACAATAAAAGTTGAAATGAAATGAGAAAATCAATATGTATTTAGATTTTTCGAGCTTAGCAAGTGTAATCGAGGAGTTTAGCATTCAATTTGCAGAAATATTCATGATTTTTACTGAGAGACTTTTCAAGCCTTCATATAACATTCCGAAATTCCTAGTAAGCTCTTCTATTCTCTTTTACAAAGCCAGAGCTCAAAGTCGATGAAATTTTGTATGAAGTCGTTCGACTCAGAGTTACCTCCGCCAAACAAAATCGATAAAAATCTCGAGCTATGCTTTTTACCCTCATCATAAAGTGTCTATTGAAGCATCCTGCGATAAATGTTTGGCTTGAGTCATTACTGGAATTAAAATATATATCTCAGAAACAAGAGGTTTAGAACAAAAGTAAGATTAGTTCAAGTACCAAGGAAATACATTAGGAAATTTAAAAATGTATGCTGTTGCATGTTAAGGTTGATATTTAATTCATCATCCTGCTTTTCCCTAAAAGCGTTACATAATAGGTAAGGACAAAGTTTTTGAAACGGAGTCGGATGTGACCTAATATTATTGAAATGTTTTTTTGCTTTTCTAACGCCTCTCCAGGTCAATGATGTTAATAATAAAGTAAAGTATTTGTTTCACAAAGAACATTTACCTCAAAAATACATTTAAATTTTAATATGCAAAAAAATTGATCTCCTTTTAAAATTGACAAGTCAACCTCAATGTTCTCATCAAAAATCAAAAAATAACGTCGGTAAGGATGCTTATAGACACCCTTGTCAGCATAAAAAAAGATCAATGACATTCCTTTCAATTGAAACTTAAGGATGTGAATGAAAGAAATGATAAAAAATGCAAAATCACTGACTTGAAAACCACGAAAAATTTTAATACATAAAGTTGAACTTTCTCTATTTCAAGTAAATAAGCACCAACTGCACTTATTCATTGATGTTGCATAAAAAAATTCTTCACTTTTTCATTCGGAAAACCAAAGATTAAAAAAAACTTTAAAATATGTTTAATTTATGAACGTAGTTCTTTCCTTACTTTGAGCCAAAAACATTCTTTTTGTACATTCAATATGGAATTAGTTGACTCAGTGTTTGCCAATTAATTAAATTTATAGAGATAATCGGGATGATCCTGATATCAAATTAACTGATTTATACAATTTTTATTATTGGGAGTTGTTTATAAATGACGTCTAGCAGTTTAGTAAGAATTTAATTTCTTAATTCTTTAAAAATCACTTTGACGAAGTGATGCTGGGTTAGAGGCTCAACCTCCCTTTACCATCTAGCTATATGACGTCAATTATGGACGACCCCTTTTTACCTTTGACATTTACTTGGTTAAAGTTTTGATAATGAATATTTTAATAGCCAAAAATAATTTAATTCAATTCAGAAAGAGCTTGAGGATGTCTATGACTGTATCTAATATCTATTTTGACATTTAAAATGATAATTTATTTGTTCATAGAATTAAAATTTGAAATTTCTAATTCACAACTCCATGAACAAATTGATTGACAATTCAGATTGTAAAAAATAAGATTGTTTGAATTTAATGAATTCCCGAAACTTTTCCTGATCAAAATGAAATTATGCCATGAGTAAATTTACATTGTAACACATCCTATTAAATTGAATAATAGAAAATTTCTCATCAGTTTGTAAATTCATTGACTATGATTCTTTTGCAACAAAAGGAATTATGAACAGCTGGTTTCACTTCAAAGTGAATAAAAAATATACGCAACATTGAAAGCAGTGCTTTGTCTTCCGACATGAGCATTAAAATTTAAAAGTTTAATTTTGAACACTTTCTAAGGATCTTCTGGAAGTTCTATTCGAATTTAATTATGCCTTCTTAAAGACTTCAAATGTTGAAAGTAAATTATATTCAGTCATTAGAAACAGATTCTAACGTTACTCAAAAATCGATTTGAGGTTTGAATCACATCTAGCTACGAACTAGAGTTTGAAGTGCTAAAAACTGAATCTCGATTTGATCTGTGCAATCAATATTTCCTTATTTTTGAATTAAACTTGAATGCTTAATTTTCTGAAAATCTTAAAATTTACTTTACAATCTTTGTCTTCGGGCTATTGAATTACATGGCAATAACAAAACCCAATTAAATAATCATGTCATCAAATAAAGAAGTTTGAACAGCAAACTTTGTGAGAATCTTTTGACTGATTTCCACATGACTTTCTATCTTTCTTTTCAAATGCTTTCAACCTATGTCGTCTTATTTCACATGAATTTACAATTTTGCTGAACCTTGCCTCTGGACAAAATGGAGATAAATAGTTAATTGCATTAAAATCATTCAAATGAAAAGTTTTGCCTATGAGAATTTTTTTTATGGAATAAAATGTGAAAAATTCTATTCAAAGAGAAAATGAGTAGTGTAATAAAAACTCTTTACGGGTCACAGGACACAGTTTGAGTGAATGACTATCTAAAATTAGGAATAGGAAGTTCATTCAAGCGGTCCACTGCTCATAAGTTTCTTGTTTACACTATTTAGCAATTTTTTTGGTCAAAATGTTGTTGCTTGAAATTACATCCTAAAGAAATGTGCGGTAACAAGCTGGAACATGATTTCTTAATTGATTTAAGAATGATAAACATTTGCATCGTTTCAAGAAACAGAGCAGCAATTTAGCTTTTGGATATAAAAAATGAAGATCTAGTTCCAAATCCAGCTTCGATTTACTTTGATAATTTATTCATGGAATAGCTTCGACTTTCTAAACATCAAACAGTATCAACGATAGATTCAGGTCAGAGCAAGCAATTAAGTATCCAACTGAACACAAAACAAAGTCAAGTGTAAACATCCAAGTCTGAAAAGTAAAGAAAGTTTCTGATAACTGATATAAAAGAAACTTTAGTTTAACGTAATTGAAACTTCATAATTTTGCAATCAATGCATGATAATTCTCTATTCCAATTTATACTTTACAATCATATCTTATGTAAATCTGATTATACGATAAAATTATGGTACGTAATTGTGATAAATGATCGAAATGAACGAGTACTGAAGTTGTTGATCAAAGTTTACATCAATTTAAGGAAATGATTTAATTTAAGAAGATGAATCTATTCCAGGCATAATAAAAATAAAGAAACTTATAAATAAGTAATAAAAATGAATGATTTAAATCATCTGAACTCTCTTTTGAATTTCCTCAACATGTTAGCGGGAAGTGCGTGGAATATTTATTAAGTACTTCACATGACAAAAGTGGTAAATGTTTAATAAGTTTGATTTTATAAAAATCACGTACATAAATCGTGGATTTTCATTTATTTTTTAAAAACACTTTTTATGTTTTCAATTTTATTTATCGGTGCAATTGAATTAATGGAACAGCTTTTGGCTCTTTAATGCTAAATTTTCACGTTAGTATAAATATTTGGAACGTTGCGAAAGGGAAAAAATGAAAAACTGTAATTATTAATAGCTGTTCAACTTTTGTGGGAATGTCTTCATGCAAGGTTAAAAGCATATCAAGTTAGGAGGAAATAACGGGTTCGAAGTTAAGGACCGAAACTTTTGGATGCGTTTAAAAAGTTTGAATTAACTTTTTTGGAGAAGGAGAAGGGAAGGGGATGAAACATAATAAGGTTCAAGATCATACAACTAGATAAATCTAGTAGACGAATTATGGATTCCATATTTTGGCAGTAAATGGTTAGATTACAGCCCCTGTGCTTTAGAAAACATCAAAAGCTAGCAGACGTAGAATTTTTAACTTTTGAATTGCCGCCAACATTTAGGAATCATTCAGAAATAACATGTTGGTGATTAATGACACTTCATCCCATCCAGAAACGACAATTGTACGACTAATCTGTGATACATAATGTCCATAACAACCCTTCCCCTATCCAAACATTTCAACTTCTTTTTGTGTCTGGACTGTTTAAAATTTATTAAAGCCTAAAAAAATTGGATAGGAAGGCAACACTTGATGAATGGAAAGTTGCCGTTCTATTAAGTTCTTCCTTTGCATTTGGGTTAGCTTGAAAAAAGTTTGAATGGCACTTCCTGAGGGGATAAAAACGTAAACTTTATGATTTCTTATTTATGAAGAAAGGTTTATGAAGAAATTTCAGG